CCAAGCAGCGTAAGGATAGTGGACATTGTGAAGCCAACATCTGAGAGATTTACATCAAACCGATATTCAACCGTGGCATCTGGCCGTGCCTGGTAGCCTGGTTCAATTACGAAAGGAAAGACTGTGGGCTGTGCATCACCAAGCATCGAGCGCCAGAATTGAGCGGCGTTGGTATTGACTTCTTCGCGGGATATGTGATCGACGAACGTTGCAAAACTAGGCCTATCCAGTAAAATTTGACCTGTTTCGTAGCAAGTAGCAATATCTTGAAGCAGCAAATTCACTGACCATGCGTCATAGATGGCGTGGTGTGCCCTCCACAGTACAAAGCTCTCGCCTGGAGAGTTACCTTCGCATATCGCGAATTGGCTGAGCCTATCGCCCAGCGATGGTGTAGAATCTGTATAGGATTCGACAAGCTCTTTCTTGTTTCGGCTTAGAGGTATCGTGATCTCCTCTTTAATGACAACTTGGACAAGGCCGACATGAGGAATATTAACAATTCGGGTCCGTAGGATTGGCCACGCATTTATGACGTCTTTCAACGAAGAGATCATGCGAGTTGTTGCTACGTGCTTCTCCAGACGGAACAGCTCCTGGTTTATATAGCTCCCCGTATGTTTTGATGACAAAGCCATAAGCCCTTGTTGCATTGGTGTGCATGGATAAATGTCTTCGATAGCTGACAGAGGAACATCGCAGGCCCGTGAAGCAGCATTTCGAATCGAGCCTACGTCGCCAGAGAGCAGCGAGAATGGAAGAACGGGAGTACTCCCAATTACCTCATGCTCAAGCGGTTCCATTGATTCTGCCATTGCAGAAAGTGTACAATTCTTCAGTATTGAATTAATGCTAAGCTGTTGCTGAAGGTTCCGTCGGACCTCCGAGCTAAGCCGCATGGCGTCAAGAGAATCTCCACCCAATTGTAGAAAACCGTCTTCTGAGTGAATAAGTTCTTCTTTGATATGAAGAACTCTTGACCATACTTTTCGGAGTCTGCTTTCAGGTATCGATAAAATCCCTGACGAGGCACGGTCCTTCTGGAACTCCCGAGCAAGAATGCCTCCCATTTTTCGCAGCTCTTTGCGATCGAGCTTTTTAGACCCAGTTTTTGGTAAATATTGTAAGGCAAAATAGTAGCTGGGTATCATATATGAGGACAAGAGCTTCTTTAGGTCACGAGAGGCGCTCTGGCACGCTCTATCGATAATCTCTCTTTGATTTTGTCCCACATCGGTCGGGTTCCCATTGTTTCTACGAGAATCGCGTATGCTGACGAATGCAGCAAGTTTCATGCTTCGTTGTCCATCACTATCCACGAATATTGAATCGACAGCACAGTCAAGTGACGAGTCTAATATCTGTAATAGATGGCTCTCAATTTCGCCCAGCTCAATGCGTTGGCCGTTCACCTTAACCTGAAAATCCTTCCTACCATGATAATACAGCAATCCATCTGCGCCGTAACGAACAAGATCTCCTGTTCTATACATCGGCCATCCTCCTTGTTTATTTGCTATGTCTTCTCCTGTCCACCGGCGATGGTTGATGAAGACCTCTCTAGTTTTTCCAGGATTATTCACATATTCTCGACCAACATGTAAGCCCTCCACTACCAGCTCTCCAATAGCACCTAACGGTGCTAATCTATTCTGATCCTGCGGCAAAACGATCCAGCAGCGACCACCAATCGGCTTTCCTATACAATTTGGTAAAGATTCGCGAGTAAGCATCTCTGTTGAGGCTACAATTGGGGAGCACTCCGCCTGACCGTATCCTTGGTAGAGACGAACAAAATCGCACCAACGGCGAATATCATCTTGTAACACCACTTCCCCGCTAGTCATAACGAATTCTAGACTTGGAAATTCAATTGGATTGATCGTTCGGAGTACCGAAGATGTGAAACACGCATGTGTTGCCCGTAGACGGGCGACCGCACTAGGAAGATCTTCCATTCTTTCACTTTCTGATGGCACACAAACGCAACCACCACCTATCAATGTGGTAAAAATCTCTATCAAGGAAACAGTAAATGAGTAACTCGCAAACTGTAGAAACCTAGTATCGTTCGTTATGTTCCACACCCTTCGTTGCTGCTCTGAATTATAGCAGAAGTTACGGTGTTCAATTGCCACCCCTTTCGGCGTCCCTGTACTACCAGAGGTAAACATGATGTATGCTGCTTGTTGAGCCTTCACATCTGGTAACGGTCTTTCTGGCAAGTTCGTATCATATTTGGAAAGATTTCTTGCATCGACACTCAAGATTGTTTCGACAATTCCTTGCAACCGTCCAGCAAAACCAGGAGATGTCAAGGCTATTTTGGCCTTGGTGATATTGGCTATAACATGGTGCCTTTGGCTCGGATCTCGGATGTCAAGAAGGCAAAACGTTCCTCCAGCCATCAACACACCCAATGCTGCTACGATTGTCCATTTTGATTTTTCAAAACATAGCAAAACAACCTGTTCTGCTTGTAAGCCATTTCTAAGGAGGACTTTGGCCATTTGGCAACTGGCTTGGCTCAATTCCTTATAGGAGAAATCGCCGTCCCAGGAATGAACAGCCAGCGCTTCTGGACGAGCATTTACCTGATCGTTAATTTCCAGGTGAATACAGCTTTCATCTAGATTGGCTCTAAATTTACTGTATAGTACAAGATTGGCACAATCTTTCGAACTGAGGAGCCCTACACTTGACAAAGTCTGGTTCTGGTCAATGGTTAATTGTGCTAGTATGTGCTCGAACTGGCCAATGATCCTGTAAGCTTGGGTTTTACTAATTACTTCAGTGCTAAAACCCAAGTGTACTGTCAATCCGTCCGCTGTTTGACAGACTTCAAGCAACAATGAATACTGAACTGACTCCGATGATTCATTCAAAGGCTGGAGTTCCATGATGTCTTTTCTGTCCTGGAAATCTGTAATCGTTTTGGGCTGAATAATTAACAAGCTATTAAAGTCGCAGACGTGACGCAATTCAGAACTCAACTTTTGTATGTTCCGAAGGCCCAATGTCTGATGTGGAATGGAAGACGCAGCATCTCGTTGGACATTGTACAGAAGTTCCGATATCTTTTTACTTCCTCTTGTGTCCAATCTTATTGGTACAACATTGATAGTAGGTCCCACGATGTTTTCTATTTTGACAAGTGGACAATCCCGCCCTGAAACTGTGCATGCAAACACGATATCTTCTGTATGGTTGTAGCTTGCGAGTAGAATCCCCCAGGAGGCTTTAACATATGTTGCCAGAGTGAACTCACCATACTTGTTCATGTTGATATTCCTTGACACACTGCGTCTCGTCACATCACCATCAAGACCTGCTGAAGGTGCTGGGAAGAATGCAGGCTCCGTATCGGCAAGATAATTGGACCAGTAATTCTGACTTTGTACGGCATCTAGAGCCGCGGTATATTCAATGAAGTGGCGGAATGATTCGGCAGGCTGTAAGACCGTGCCGACAGTGAACGTCTGCTGGATCCCTCTCAGGATAATATCCATTGACCAGCCGTCGTAGATTGCATGGTGCAATGTCCAAACAAAGCAAGCTCTAGAAGATTTTGAATTTGAAATACGTACGATTCGGTGCAGCGGCTGCCCAAAGCCCATTGGCGTTTCCTGGTCCGCAGAAAGATAGAAGTCAAGTTGGTCCACTAAGGGGACGTCAGGCACCTTTGATGTGACGACCTGTAAGAGAGGCTCCTTCTCATTCCTTTGTATGATTTTTGTGCGGAGAATGGGCGTCTCAGCAACTACCTTCTGCCATGAATGTATCCATCGCTCGGCACTCAGTCCTTCATGGAGGTAAATCAGATATCGATCAATATACGTTCCAGGCCGGGCCAAACTCAAGAACATAAGATCTTCCTGCAGAGGTGTACAAGGATATATATCGATGATGGATTCTGGCGTGTATTTGTGCATCGTCATGACCTGTCTCTGGGAGACTGTGGGATCAAACGCGTCATCTAAACGAGGCAGCACTTCTGAACCAGATAGATGCCCTGAAATATCTTGGCGCTCCATTCTTTTCGTTCACCTGCTCCTTCCACAAGGGTCGCAAGGAAATGGTGTAGCCAATTATATGAAGATCAACAACGCGATTGCGCGAAATTGTATATGAACAGCGGTGTGAGTAAGAATGCCTCCCTAAATGAAGAGGTAGAGTGAGTAGAATAAAAATAAAATGGGCATGGGGGGGGAGGGGGTTGGTTGTTTTGCTGGCTCTCGGATCTCGGATCTGAAGGTCGGTTAAATGTGCTTCGAATGTAGCCGAAGCAGATCCGCTGACTGGACAATATTTGCCCGCACAGATGGAGACACACCCGAGCCCAACTACGGAGTACTTAACTATATAATTATGTAATAATGAAATTCGTCCATTCTTTATAACTTGCGTCCCTGTGCAGCGAGAAACCCGGTAGGCCGAGAACAACCAATGAGAAACAACGCTTTGTTATGGAATGTGCTATCTTTGCACTTCCATCGGCCCTTCTCAGTCCACGTTAGTTGCGCACTGTCTCTAACTATTCAGTCCTGCCATCACTGATGGTGAGGTTGACCTATGATGGCTGTACATCATACCGGGGGGGGGGGGGAGCCTGCCATCAGTGATAGCAGGGTCTTGGCGTATTGCCAATCACGTGACCCAAAGCTCAGCACCTATCCTTTCCTACTGACCTGTTCCAAGTGGGCCCGGTCCCTTTGCCTCTAGGGCGCTAAAAGAGCGGCGCTACGATACGTGCGCGCGCCAATATCGAGTATATATATCCAGCTAAATACCACGACAACAAGACAAGCTTGTTGTCTTGTGCATATCTTTTGGTCACATGGGCAGCGCGAGTAGCTGCGCGCTAGGCCGGATTAGGCCGACCCATTACAGTTATCTCTTTGGGCGCATAGGCATCAAAGCTGTTGTAACTAACTTTCGTATCTAAGTATTAGGATAGGAGTGTAACAGAGTTATTATTATTATTATTATTGATTAACGTCCTGTGTCAGCCCGAAGGCTATATAAGACGTGCAAGCTGATAAGGCTTACAAGTATCTATGTAGTGCTATCAATTTGGTGTGGTTGGGGGAGGGGGCTATCTAAATCGAGAGGAGACTCGTAACCTAGCGTCGAGGGGGGTAGTAGGGGATCTTGCGGTTAGAAGAGATAGGTAATGTGGGTGTAGGGCGGGGGCACCTGCTGTGTGTGTTGCCTTAGTTCTCAAGGTTTCCTTTGTACCAGGCCTGTGTTGCAGCCTTAGTTTCCTCAATAAAGCTAATTGTAGCTTGTATGCCTGTGTTTGTGTGTAGTAAGAAGACTAGCGATAAGGGCTCCCTACTAGCTTCTTGCATCTTTGCCCTAGCCTCCTTGAATAGCGTGCAGCTAAGTAGGATATGTGCAGGATCTTGAGTAGCTCTATAGTTGCAGGGGCACACTTTAGAGTCTACTTTTCCTCGCTTGAAGAGGAAGTCTCTTAGGTAACAGTGTCCTAGCTTAAGCTGAAAGAAGGCGCTAGAAGCTTCTCTACTAGTAGAAGGAGTAGCGATTTGCTTTCTAATCTTCCACTTATACTTTGCGGCATAAGTGTTAGCGTTGAGAGTGATAGCTTTCCTTCTGTACTGTTCTAGATAGCTGTGCCACTCCTGCTCGCCTAGCTGCTTGACCCGTGTGCCTATAACGGCTAGGCTAGTCTTACTGGAGGTGGGATCTAGCTTTGTTGCCTCCTTTGCTAGCGCGTCTGCTTTTTCGTTTCCTATGACGTCCTGGTGGCCGGGTACCCAGTAGATTGTGGGTATCAGGCCTTTCTTCTTGAGCTTTTTTGCTGCTCTAATACATCTGAGTTGCCATTCTTGTCCAGGGTTATCGGAAGCAGTTCTTAGTCTAAGTATTGCGGCCTGATTATCTGCATATACTCTGACTTCTAGGCAGTCTTCTACTAGATTGACGGCTTTCTCTAGGCCTAGGGTGATACCTTCTAGCTCCCCGTTGTAGACTAGCTGGTTGTATCCTATGTTAACCTTTTCCTGAGCTATTAGGCTAGCTCCTTTGTAGTAAGCAACTCCGACTCCTATACCCTTGCCTTTGCTTGTGGCTGAGGCGTCTGAGTAGATAGAGAGGAGGTATTTGTCTTCTAGTAGTTCTTTATGTTCTTTTGCTTCGGCTTCCTTAGACTTCTTAGATATAATTGTCTTGTAGAGTATTTTTGAGTTCCATGGCGTAGACGCGTAGTGCTGAATCTTTTCACAATCTGTGGATAGGGCTGTCGATATAGATGTAGTAATACGCTCTAGCTGTTTCCCTTGGTTGCTAGCGATGGCAATGTCAAGAGGGTGACTAGGGGCTAGTTTTCTAGCTCTAAAGGCGTATTGTCGAAGGGCGTTGTTTAGCCTAATTCTAGGAGGGTATAGGGCTGCTTCTACCTCGCTTGGTATAGTTGGTGAGGTTCTAAAGGATCCTAGGATTTTTCTGCAGGCTTGGTTCTGCAGCTTCTGCCTCTGGTTAAGTGTTGTCTGCTGCTCCTTCCAGAAGATTTGACACCCGTAGTTTGCTACGCTCGTGACGCAGGCTAGATAGAGCTGTCGTACTGCTCTAGGCGAGAGGCCTTTGTTTGAGTTGGCTAGCCTGCTAAGGCGGTGAAAAGCTGCGCTGGCCTCTTGGTTCCTGATGTGGCTGTGGTGTTTGAATTTAAGGCTGCTGTCAAAGTGGACACCTAGCCATCTAACCAGCTCCTTGGAGTGTACTATTTCCTAGTTTGGCAGAGTAAGAACTCTACTTTGATCTTTTCTAGATCTTGTCCAGTTAACTAGTTCAGTTTTTGAGCTATCGAATTGGATGGCTGACTCCTCTGCTAGTCTAAAGAGGTTCTGGATCTCTTTTTCTAGTAGCTTTACAGCCGGGTAATGTTTTCTTTAAAAAAAAACCCTCACTGCAACTATCACAGATAACGCAAAGAATTGACTCCTTGAGCAGGATTGAGCGGTTCAGGGCCAATCGCTATCCATGCTAGAAGGTGATAGTTGTTGCAGGGTGGCGATCACGGGATAGGTCATCCCACAAGGACAAGATGGCAGTGAGGAGTAGGGAT